TCCCTGGAGTTGCTGTAACCAAGCTGCAGACTGAGGGGACACACTCTGAGAGCATCTCTCTCTGTGATTCCTGTCTGCATGGCTGAGGTCAGGAAACCGTCCAGGAAGAGACGCGTTTTCCTCTAGGCGTGCTGCAGGGGCAATCTGGCCAAGGCTGTTATCTGCAAAACTAGCAATGAGGCCAACCGGGGCTTCAGTGCTTTCAGGAGACGGGGACCCTCCATAAGGAAAACAAGCCAGGCTTGGGGATTTAAATCTACTGTGTGTTGGCTTCAATATGTTTTCCTCATTCACCCTCTTAATGTGGTTGGCTGGCTTTTGCTTTAAAATGAAATTATTTGGAAATTGGGAGGCTGGCTAATATGTAGTTAAGGTTGAATTAGATTTGGAGCCATCCAGGAATGGAATACTCCCAGTGTTTGGACAGGCAACGGTGAGCTGACATTAAATCCTAGAATTATCAGTGGGGCAAGCAGAGATTCAGAGCTGAATGCTGTTAACCCCTGTGTGGTAAGGAAACCCATGCCTGTGACCAGGAGACGGCTTTACTCAAAGCAAAGATTGCATAAGGGCTGCAAGGATCTTCTCAGTCCCCAGGGAGACAATGACATTCACAGGGATGAATAGATATTAATTGTACTTATTGGATACTTCATTGCCTGTTTGCTTCTGGGTATAGTATAAGCAGGCTTTCCAGGTGGCGCAGTGGTAAAGAATCCACCTGCCAATGCTGGAGATGGAGGAGACGCAGCTTTGATCCCTGGGTGGGGAAGATCCCTTGGAGAAGAAACTGGCAACCTTCTCCAGTATTCTTGCCTGGAAAAGTCCATGAACAGAGGAGCCTGGCAGGCTACAGTCCATGGGGTCACAGAGTTGGACATAACTGAGCAACTCGCACACATGCAGAGTTTATAAGCACAAGAGGATTGCTCTGATCATTATGGCTTTTAGAGTCTACAATTGTATAAAAGTAAGTCTTATCCATCGACATCACCAAAGCACAGTGAACCTAGGCTTCTTTTGCAGTTAGAATTGTTCCGTTAAGTGAGTTCAACCCAGTGATATCTTTATCTCTGATTATGAAGGGCCAGGAGAAGCTGGGCTTCCCAGGTGGTGCTAGTGGTTAAGAACCTGCCTGCCAATGCAGGAGATGCAAGTTCGATCCTTGGGTCGGGAAGATCCCCTGGAGAAGGGAATGCCAACCCACTCTAGTATTCTTGCCTGGGAAATCACATGGACAGAGGAGCCTGGTGAGCTGCAGGCTGTGGGGTTGCAAAGAGTTGGACACGACTGAAGCGACAGCAGGAGAAGGTGAGGGGAACCAGGATCACTGACTTGCCCTCCTAGAGCTGGCTGTGGCGACCTGGTTACTGTGAAATTGACCTATGTCCAGTGAATAAGGGAACTGGAGTGGACAATGTTGAATGGGAGAACAGGTCCCATCTCTCACCTGCCCTGTAGGTGAGGAGCCCGAGTGCAAGGACATCACGGCCAGGGTGCAGCACATCAAGGTGGGAGATTGCACATCTGAAGAGGAAGTGGACATTCACTATTGCCAGGTAAGGAGTCCTTGGTTCAGAGGATGGGTCTCTTCATTTGAACACTTCTCTTTAGATACATTGTGGAAATATCTGGGAAGTTCACAAGGAGGAGATGTGAAAGAAACTAGGAACTTTCTTTTTCCTTTTTTTTTGAAAGCAAATATTTTATTGAAGTAACTGAGAACTTTTGACCCCAGAAGATAAAAAAATCAGCAGTGATTCAAAGCGTCCTTTGAAGAGAATGGAGGGTTACTTATGGAACGTGGGAGCTGCATTCCCTGGAGATCCATCAAACATGCACAGAAATCGCAGCTATAGGGCTGGATGTGAGAGTTCCATTAGGGCAGGCCTTTCAGACACATTGCCTGGCTGTCCTGGGTTCCTCTGGCGGAGGCCAGGCCTGGAGGAGGGCAGGTGCAGGAAGCGGGCTGCCCCAAGAGCCCTCCCCACCCTGCGACTCTGCATCACCCGCGTTGCCGCCTCTCTCTTTCCCGTTGCAGGGAAGATGCACCAGCAAAGCCCTGTACTCCATTGACACGGAGGATGTGCCGGACCAGTGTTCCTGCTGCTCACCCACGCGCACGGAGCCCATGCGAGTGCCCCTGCGCTGTACCAACGGTTCTGTCATCTACCACGTGGTCCTCAACGCCCTGCAGTGCAAATGCTCCCCCAGGAAATGCAGCCCGTGACGCGCTGCCCGCCCTACGCGGACACCCGCTGCCTCTCGCTAGGCTCGGCCACCCCTGCCCCGCGCGCATGCGCACTCTGCTCCCGGACCTTCCCGGGCGCACAATAAAGGCCAATCTATCTTCTCGTCAAAGGCTGGTGGTTCATCCGGGTTGAGATGGCTGGGCTGCTCTGAGCCGGGTGCTGAGGTTGGGGGTGGGGAGTGGAGAGGGAGCCCAGGCTTTCACACCAGATCCTTTTCAGCCCCGAGAGAGACGCTACTCAGTGCAGGCACTGGACAATGAAGCTGGAAAGGATTTAGACATCATCTCATCCACTGCCCTCTCTTGCCCCTTCACCGAGGATGAAAGTAGCTCAGAGAGCTTGAGTGGCTTGCCGAAGGTCACACAGTGGCTGGGTGGCAACGCCAGGCTCAGAAGCCGAGGACCTGGACACCTGGGCAAGAACTCAGGTTGGTCCACCAGAGCCACACGAATCTAGTGCTGACAGATTCAGCCTTGTTCTCACCGGAACCAGGGAGGGCTGCATTTTTAGGCCTTTCTGCTTCCGCTGGAGAAGAACCTCCAGGGAAGATAACATTGGAGGCAAACGCCATGAGTTGCGTTGAGTCGCGTTGGTGGGGAGTTTTAGCCGGGTAGAGGGAAGGAGGAATGGATAGAAGTTTTATATAACTGCTCAATAATTCAAAGGCTGTCGCCCTCTATCCATCACCCCACCTCCAATTTTGAGTAGTCTCTAAGGTCTCTGTGGGAAAGCAGATCTGGGGCCAGAGAATTATTAATAGCTGTCTCTCTTCTGACTGATCGCCTGATGCTCCGCCCCGGGACGAGGTGCTGTTGGTGGCGTGGGGCTCCGAGAAATTCAGTGGGAGGCTACTTCTTCAACAGAGGGTGTCAATTTCTCAGTGCTCCCATAGTCAGAGTTCTCCTCGTATTTACTAACAGGATGATTCACTACCAAGGAAAAAGCTGAACTTGAAAAATTGCATGTTTTGATTTTAAAAAACGGCAGGGAGCAGGGTAAATAGGATGCTGAAGGAGAAACAGTGGGGTGTGAACCGGGAGCTCTCCCACTCTGCATGCGTTCCAAGGTGGGTCTGCCTCTGGTCCCAGCTCTTGCTATTCAGTTGCTCAGTCATGTCCAACTCTTTGTGACCCCGTGGACTGCAGCCCGCCAGGCTTCCCTGTCCTTCACCATCTCCCGGAGTTTGCTCAAGCTCACGTCCATTGAGTCGGTGATGCCACCCAACCATCTCGTCCTCTGTCACCTCCTTCTCTTCCTGCCTTCAATCCTCCCCAGCACCAGGGTCTTTTCCAATGAGTTGGCTCCGCATCAGGTGGCCAAAGTATCGGAAGTTTCAGCTTCAGCATCGGTCTTTCCAAAGAATATTCAGGGTTGATTTCCTTTAGGATTGACTGGTTTGATCTGTAGTCCAAGGGACTCTCAAGAGTCTTCTCCCAGGACTCTCTGTTTTGTCCTCCTCGGACCAGATGGGACAGTACCCCGAAGTGAGAGTCTTAAGAAGAGTCTCAGGGAGTATGGAGAGAGAGGAGATGAACCAAGGTGGAAATGTTTCCAGTCCTCTTGGCGTTGGAAACACATAGGGAAGGGTTCCCAGAAGAGGGTGGAGAAGGGTGTGTCTGGGAGAGAAAGCAGCCAGGATCCAAGTGTTAGAGCACAGACTCTGAAGTGAGCTCAGTCCTCAGAGATATGGGGCCTGACCTTTCCACTGCAGTCTCCTTATCTGTGAAATGGGTACAGGCAGTAAAACATAGAACGGTTATTAGAACTCATTCCTTTGGGAAAGGCTCTGAGAAGGGTGCGGAGGGAGTGGATGTCTGTATCCATACCAGCCTTGATTACCCCTGGCGGCCAGGACACAGCCCAGGGTGGGCACATGCTGTTTCTGGTTTTCTTCTGCTCAGCTCCTGACTTCCCTTTACTGTCTCAGGTTCATCATCAATTGATACAATGTATAAAGTGGGGAGGGGCTTCCTCAATAGCTCAGCAAGAAAGAATGGCCTTCAGTGAAGGAGACATGGGTTTGATCCCTGGGTCAGGAAGATCCCCTGGAGGAGGAAATGGCAATCCACTCCAGTATTCTTGCCTAAAAAATCCCATGGACCAAGGAGCCTGACAGTCCATGGGATTCCAAAAGAGTCGGGCATGACTTCAAGACTGAACACTCATGCATAAAGTGGAGGGCAGTCCCACCAGTCCGCCTTATCAACATGGGAGTTGGGAAAGTTTGTGCACATACAGAGCCAACTTGACATATATGTTAACATAATACCTTTTCATTTTCTGGGCCCCTGGTATTAATGCACTCACTTACCTTGGGGGAATCTTGGAATTGTAGATTTCATCATGCAGAATGGCCCTCTGGAACTCTTCTCTTCCATCCCCCTTCCCATGGCTAGGTACCAAAGCCATTCCAGAAAGATGGACCTCCTCTTTTTTCCTAGGATGGAGCTTTCAACATCTGCTTCCTCAACTGGTCCCAGTCTCCCTGGGAAGCTTTTCTAAAACCTGCCCCTTCTCTTACCACTTGCAGCCCCTCTTCCTGTCCCTGGGGCGAGATTCCTCCACTTCTGCCCCTTTTAGTCTAGAGAAAGGTGGGGGACAGCTGGTGGTTGTGCGGGGAAGCACCCGCCCCCCACCCAGGCGATCAGCCACAGGGCGGCGGGAAGCAGGGTTCCTGGGCGGGATTGGAAACTAATCAGGCAGACGGTTCGAGAGATAATCCGGCTGAACGCTCACACCCGAACCAGGTTAGGAGGCAGCGCTCGGGGCAGGGAGAGCCGCAGTCTTATGGTCTGGCCCCTCAGCTTCATTAACCCGAGCGTGACCCAGACTCAACCCGCCGGCGGGAACGCGCTTCTTCCTCCACGTGGCGCGACTAGCGGCCGGTGCGCCCAGGGCGCAGCAGCCGGAGGAGGCCGGGTGGCCCCAGCGAGGGATGGGGGAGGAGACAGCAGCAGCAGGCAGGGGCGGGCACGTCCAGACGGAGCTGAGCCGAGATGGAATTAGCCCGGCGGCTGAATAAGCCAGTGCAGACGCCAGCGCAGCCGCGGGACAGTCGGGGTTTCGCGTCTGGTGCGCCCGCTCCATGGCCACCACCCCGGGGCTGCATGGTGAGTCTCCCTTGCATGGACCTGGTCCTGAGCATCTAGAATCTTGTAGGACGGAGAGGGGGCTGGGAGTGAAGGAGCGGGCATCCCTATTCCTACCCTTGAGACTGGTGACCCCCGGTGAACCTGGAGGGGCCTCGCCGGGGATCCGTCTGCTGGCTAGACAGGCAGACATAATTTCAGTCTATGATCCCTGACATGAAAGCCCTTTGTTCAGCCCAAGACCGCTCTGTCCTGGGGCTCCAAGCTCAGGGGTCCCACGCTTGTCTGTGGAGCAATGGGTGCCCCCGGATGCTGGGGCACCCAGACCAGCTACTTCTCACCCTGGGGTGGCTCTCACCCTCGGACGGCGAGGGACACCGGAGTGGTTTCCTGGATGCGCATGTCCTATCAAGGAGAAAAGAGGTAGGACAAGAGTCAGGGGATTGGTGCAGTGGCTTTTTGTTGATGAATTACCAATTCCAATCTCTTTATCTTCTCCTTGTTACAAGTCAGGAGGTGTTTAGCACATCTGAACGGATCAGCAAACAACTGAGGTTTAATTCAGAAACAGTCTGCTGAGGACAGAGGTTCAGAGTCACCCCCTGCAACTTGACTTTAGCCTCTTGGAGCATCCTCACAATTTCAGGAAGTCTCTCCCAGCCCATATCCACCCCAGAAAGGGCATTTACACCGTGGGAAACACAGGCGTGTCTTTCCCCGGGAACTTATTTAAGAGGAAAAGCAAATTGAGGCAGCGTTTAGGGGAGCAGGGCATGACCCTTCTGCATCTTCAGGTGATGTTGAATACACACGTGCGTTTGGTGGGGTTGACCCTGCCTAGAAGGGGTTTCTGTCTGGAGTCTTGTTTCCAGTGGTTCGTGAGAGAGGCGTGGAGTGGCAGGGGCCGGGGAAGGTGCTCACTTCACTGGCATGAACAGTGGGCACGGGGGACTGGAAGGCAGGTGTGAGTCTGGGACTGCGTGAGCACGTGTGGAGAGACACTCCGGGACCGTGTGAATGCTGGTCTAGGGCAGAAGTTCCTGCCGAGCAAGGTTAAATCTCATCCCCAAAGGCAGGTGGCAGGTGAGGGAGGATCTTAGACGAGAGGTGGCTCCTCCAGAGAGTGACAAGACAACTTGTCTGGGCTTTGCTCTCGGGATTGGACATCAGAAGCCTGCCCCAGCTGCTAGGTATCCAGGGCCTGATCGCCCCTTCACTGTGACCTGCCACACGCCATCATTTTGGGAACCAGGAACCTAAGCAGGTCCTTTCTGGGCACCTGTGCTGCTGTCTGAGTTGCTTCTAGGTGATCCCTGGGCCTCTCTGCTGGCTGATGGAGGAGGCTGTGTGAGCAGGGAGGATGGGTTCCAAACACCAGACTCAGCCTCTGCTGGTCCAGTTTGTCTGTCCCTTCTCTGCCCACTTCCACAGTGGGGCAGGACTGGGGTCGGGGGCCAGAGACACTGAGGGCTAGACTGGAGCTTGTGTTTCATTTTCTCTAATGAGGACCTGATTTCCATCTCGTGGACCCTGCTTCTGGCTGAGGGCAGCCTGGCGTTCCTAGAGCACGAAGAATAGAAATGACCACTGGAGATGAGAATCTGGCTTCTAGCTACAAAGTAGAATCCATCCATATTTGTGATCAGGCTGCTGGGGAGGAGGAGTTTGAAAGAAGATTGCCTTCAAAGAAGGAACCAGCCACGTGGACACCTGGAGAATGGTCAAGCAATGGCATGCATGTGTGCTATTGCTTCAGTCATGTCTGACTCTTTGAGACCTTATGGATCATAACCTGCCAGGCTCTGCTCTCCCTGGGATTCTTTGGGCAACAATATTGGAGTTAGTTGCCATGCTTTCCTCCAGGAGGTCTTCCTGACCCAGGATTGAACCCATGTCTCCTGTGGCTCCTGCATTGCAGGCAAATTCTTTATTGCCAAGCCACCAGGGAAGCCCCTCAAGCAACAGCAGTAGAGACGAAAGACCCTGGGGCAGCAGTGTGCTTGGGCTGTCCACAAAGTCAGGGGGGAAACCCAGTGCCTGGAGGGTTGAGGGAGAGGGTGAGCCAGATCGCATGGAGTCTTGGGGCTCAGGCTGTATGCTTTTGACTTCCAAAGAGAAAGGGGAGACATATTTAGACACTGTGCATACAGATACCGCGCTTCACTTCCCAACAGCCTTGGGGTCAATATGAAATCCATGTTATTGAAGAGGAACCTGAGGTTCAGAGAGGTTAGGAAATACCCCTGTTACATGGGGTTCACCAGTGAATCATCAGTGAAGGATAAAGTTGGAATTCCAACTCACTTCCCTTCCACCTCACCTGGTTGCTCTCATTCTGTTCTTCAGAGGCCATTAGAAGGAAGTGTAGACGTTGGTAAGGAAGGGGTGGGTGGAAGTGTGGGTGGAAGTGGGGCCTTTAGGGAGATATTAATTTTGCAAGGCTGATAGGTGATGCTGTGGTCATATTCCAGGCAAGGCTTGCCTTGACACGACTTCCAGTCTGGAGTCATCAGGGTTAGTTTATTTAGTGGGATCAAACCTCAGAAGGCCAGTTGTCATCATGGAACTCCTATGACAACGTGCCACTGTGGTTCACACCGGGGACATACTTTAGTGAGCACAGGTTGCCTGAATTCCACATTGATGGTTTACAGGCCTGTGGGAGACTGACCCACTGCCTGCAGAGAACTTGCCCAGTGTCTGATGATTCTGTTAATCTCAGCTCACCATCACTTCTATGGATTGGCACACCATGCCCCTGTGGGGGCCGCGCACACCAGTTCAGAGCACACTTGTGGAGCCAGTGCTCGGTGCTGGAGCTTCAGCGACCAACAGGGCACGCACACTCTGGACCGTCAGGACCTCACACTCTAAGGTCACCACCCCACTCCTTGTTGGACATGAGAAGGAGGAGGCGGGGTCAAGAACAGGCTTGTTCAGACCACACCAATGAAATTAACCACATCCATACTTCATAGGCTGCCTGGTGGCTCAGACTGTAAAGAATCCGCCTGCAATGCAGAAGACGTGGGTTCGATCCCTGGGTTGGGAAGATCCCCTAGTGAAGGGAATGGCAACCCACTCCAGTATTCTTGCCTGGGAAATCCCATGGACAGAGGAGCCTGGGAGGCTACAGTCCATGGGGTCACACAGAGTTGGACGTGACTGAAGCAAATAATACTTTAACACTTCGTAGTATTAATACATTTCAAGATGTACTAGAAGTCTTTCTTTGGCTCCTACGGACAACTCTGCCCTCCCTCCAGAAACTCTAAGCAAATAATTTATAAGTCCATCTGGCTGAGAGTTCTCCATCTCTGTTAACTTGTGCTGAAACTACAAAAAGGTGACTGTTCTTTCAAGGAGCTGGGTGAGATCCTCCCCTCACTGTGTAGCAAACACAAATATAAAGCGTGCCACCCTTATATCTCCTTTAAAAATTTTTTTTTCTTTTATTTTGTAGAGTATTTTTATTTATTCTATGCTCCTGACCAGGCACTGAACCTGTGCCTGTGCAGTGGGAATTCAGAGTCTTAACCACTGGACCCTCAGGGCAGTCCCACCCTCAAATCTTCTGACTGGTTCACTGATTTCTAGAAAAACAGGAAAACTCACACTTTTCTAGCAATCACTGATGCCTGTTATTCATCATAAACTAATTAAAAATAGCTTTAAGAATTTAAAAGTAATGATACATGCCCATCGAAAATAATTAAACAGAAAAAAAATACTGGTTTTTAATATTTTGGTGATTATTCTTGACCCTAACTCCTTTTTAATTCATTTTTATTTTTTTCCTATATCAGTTACTACTTCTATTTCTTATTTATTAACCTTCAAACAAGTTACAAGAAAGGAAAACCTAGATACCAAAAAACTTAAGGGAAAATGAGCAAATGCCAAAGAATGAAAGATTGAGAACACATTATTATATCAGCCAAACCTAGATAAGAATAGGTACTGTAATTGAGCAAAAACTTACCTATGAACCTCCTGACAGGCAGATCAGAAAAGAGATAATAAGTTACTTGGGTCCCATTGCCTAAGAAAATGAGACTAGTTCATCAACATTAAACTTTAAGAAGAATGTCACAGTGGTATTTGTGTGACATATAAGACATTGCCCAGCATAATGAGCTGTAGTTTCATTAGTAGCTTTTTAGAAAGGGTATTATTTTTCATGTGGGCATTTGTTTTTGTGTGTCTGTCTTTTTTTAAAAGAGGTGTTTCTGTTTTATACTTTTCTGGTCCATGCTACTCTATTATACTGAAAAAAAAATTCTGTTTTCAAACCATTAGATAACCGACTATCTTTCAAATCATTAGATAACCAACCTCTCTATCTTGAAAAATAGTGGCCTATGGGTACTTTGCCAACAAAGGTCCATCTAGTCAAGGCTGTGGTTTTTCCAGTGGTCATGTATGGAGTTGGACTGTGAAGAAAGCTGAGTGCCAAAAAATTGATGCTTTTGAACTGTGCTGTTGGAGAAGACTCTTGAGAGTCCCTTGGACTGCAAGGAGATCCACCCAGTCCATCCTAAAGGAGATCAGTCCTGGGTGTTCATTGGAAGGACTGATGCTGAAGCTGAAACTCCAATACTTTGGCCACCTGATTCGAAGAGTTGACTCATTGGAAAAGACCCTGATGCTGGGAGGGATTGGGGGCAGGAGGAGGAGGGGACGACAGGGGATGAGATGGCTGGATGGCATCACCGACTCGATGGACATGAGTCTGAGTAAACTCTGGGAATTGGTGATGGACAGGGAGGCCTGGCGTGCTGCGATTCATGGGGTCGCAAAGAGTCGGACACGACTGAGCAACTGAACCGAACTGAACTGATGGGCTTCCCAGGTAGCTCAGTGGTAAAGAATCCACCTGCCAGTGCAGGAGATGCAGATTTGATCCCAGGGTTGGGAAGATCCCCTGGAATAGGAAATGGCAACCCACTCCAGTATTATTGACTGGAAAATCCCATGGACAGAGGAGCCTCTTGGGCT